ATTTTTTGGGATAAAACAATCTACAGAAGAGACAGGGTAGCGAACAATCCACCTTTTATTTTACATAAGGAAAAATAAATTGCAAATTGGAAGACTAGTTGGAATCGGAAGAAATAAGAATTTAGATAACGATTGAGAGATTAGTGGACTTACACTTAGATCCCTTAAGCTTTGAATGAATTTAAAATTCAATTCTGGTTTTGAAGCACACTTCACAACTCTTTTGCCAAAGCTATAGGTTTACCCTTTAGGTTTTAGGAGTCTGATGATGAGCGAAGCTTAATCTAAAGATGTTTGAGGGTTAGTTGAAAGGACACTTAACTGAGGTTAGACACTTTAGAACCACTTCAGGCCCAAACTAAAGTGTAGGCTTCCTAAGTCTTAGAAGCACACCTTGAGAGAGTTTATCATCCTAATGTTCAAATGATCCTAAGAAGCCAGACATCTGACCCCAGTTCATGAGATAACTAAGACACTAGGTACGAAGGTGCACTAGATTGTGATTTATGACTGATTTATTTAGATTAAATAATGAAATTCTTACCTTAACTTGACCAAAACTGAAACTCAATGCTCCGGGATTTGAGTTTGTCTTACACTCAAATCCTCCTGATAATTGAAGACATTCCAATATCACATATGAATTTTCTATTCTTGGTCCTTTATGTGTGATATTGTATTTTCATTTATTTGTTTATCTTTTTCCTATGATTTACCTATTTCTGTTAAGTCCTTTTTCAGGTCATACTTTCCTCTTTTACACAGCGCATACTAGCTAAACTTAAAGGAGCAATGAACCTCTCTGGTGTACCGTTTTAATTTACATTACAACATTTTATTTTAAAGCATGTTATATTGTTTTCATAGTCTGTTATACTATTTTCTTAGCATGCTATACTGTCTTTTCTTTCTACTGTACACTATACTGCTCTTTTCTGTTATATTGCATGCTTAGTTACTTTGATACGCTATGCCTTAGTTTAGAATAACCTAGTGGTTAAGTGTATTTTCAAAACTAAAATTAAACCGGGAGGTGCTACTACGAAGAGCCTGGAGCGAGTATCGTGAACAGCACGACGATGAACAACTTTAAGGTGGATCTACAACAACAAAACATATGCACATCACCTCATCTTCACATCACATGAACACATTCACATCACCTATTATTATCTTTAGTTTAAATAACAACCCATAGGATCATTTTTTAGGTTTTTTGTACAACTTTTAATTATAAGTCCTAACGTTTTAGGATTCCGAGGTTACCGTACGGTATGGTGTAAATCCTTCTGTCTTTTAGGCTATTTGCACAGTCTGACGTTGTGCAAACATAAGTCCTAAATCTTAAATAATTTGCAGGATTGAAATATCAAATAATCATCACTTCAAAGACATAAAGCCGAATATTAGGATAGTTGGGAGTTCACTGGGTTTTTTTTCCCAGATCTGTGACGTCCCCTACTCTTTTTTCCCTTGGATTCCTTAAATAATTGTTCATATTTTCTTTTCAATCATTCCTATTTGATTTTCCCATGTTCAATCGTGAAAACATAAACTTTGAAATCTTGAAAACAAAACCACCTGATCTTAATCGAGAGTTTTCTTAAATGACTTCCAGTTATTTAAGATATAATTAACTATAGGGGCTTGCCGCTATAGGGAATTAGGAACACAGATAAAATAAACCTTATTTAATCCTCGAATTAGGTATGGGAACTTGTCGGCAAGTAAACTTATCTAATCCTCGTATTAGGTATGGGAACTTGTCAGCAAGTAAGACAATTTCGCAGACCGAACGGATGTCACAAATTCTTTAGTTTAGGTGATTGAATCCTTATTACAAGTGATATTTATCCTTCGGGATAAGTGTTTTACTTGTAGTATCGTATTCACTCGTCTAAACTATTTAAAATGTGGGGCCAGTTTGGTCTCACATATTTTAAATTAAAATGTTGCTTTGAAAATTAAAAAAAAAATCTCACCTATTTTAAATTAAAATGTTGCTTTGAAAATTTAAAAAAAAAAGGGGGTTATATTCATATTTTAATTATTTTTAAAATCACAAAAATTATTACCTTTTTCAAATCATAAAGTTATTTCAAGTTATAAAGTTAAATAAAAGATTTTTAAAAGATATTAAAATAAAAAATAAAACGGCCGATAGGGGGTTGTTAAGCTTTCCCACCATATTAAAAAGGCATGCATGACTGGTGTCATAAGATATCTTAAACAAAGGATCTTGAAACTCACCAAGTTTAATAAAGTGTGATAACCCTTCACACCTACATGAGAATATATGTAGAGATTCATTTGTCACGTTCGAATAATGCATGCGAGTACTTATATTATTGCACAACGACTGTTCCTGGCATTTTATCTTTGCATGCAATGACGATGTTTGTTGGCAAGGTGATAAGAATGCGGCGAGCCAAGCACTCAACCTCCTTTTTTTTTTCCTCCCCTTTTCTCCTTTTTTAATGCTATTTCAATCACGTGTTAAGAAGGTCAATGATGGAAAAGAGTTTCTATTTGGTTGAGATTAGGTGGATAGATTGTGATATTAGAGTCAACCCAAACCACAATAAGAAAAGAAAATATTATTACTAGACCTCACATATAGACGTACAAAGAACCAACTGGAATAGGAATTAATAACAATCAAAACACCAAAAATTAAAAGTAGCAACTGACACAATACAAACACTCAATGAGAGTGGATCGTTGGGTGGTGGTGGTTGTTGGCAAGGATTTGAAAGGTGGCATAAAGGTGGAAAAGTAAGTTGGCAAGCAGACAATAGCAGTTTCCCCCATGCCAAACAGCAAGTAGGCAATCCGGTGACGATGCGACGACTGTCCGGGTAGGTAGCAGCAAGGGGGAAGGGTGGAAAAGGTGGCACTTTCATGGAGGGTGCAGCTGGAAGCTGGGGGAGGCTGTGAGGAAGTCTGGGAAGGGGCGGCAGTCGATTGAGAGGGCTTTGTGGGCTGCTCGGAGGATGGCAGTAAGGTTGGCGGCTGGCTAGAGTCGATAGCAGCCAGGATGGAGGGCTGGAATAGCGATGGAGGATGCGGTGAGCTGCCGGACAGCCAAAGGAAGGTGCCCCTGGATGGGGGCAGCAAGAAAACTAGCTGGACAACGAGAAAGCCACAGGAAAACAGCAAAAGGATTGCTGTCAGTGCAGTCTGCAGCAAGAGGAATGCGAGGCAGCGAAGCAGTAGAGTTGCGGAGGAGTTAGAGAAGGGTAAACACCACTTGGAGACAAATTACAGCCAAAATGCCACTATGAAAAGGTCAAAATAGAAGAATGGGTGCTCGGTCGTAGAATGGGAACGATAGACGGGACGGTTGATTCAATTATGAAAATGAAAAATTTTGAAGGTTTGAAATAGTTTGTATACATTTTAACTAATTAATAAAATTAGTTATTATTGAAATTGAACGTGATTACACCTGTTAACCACATAGCAGTTAATTCCACCAATTATTTTGCATTTTGTTTTTTTTTTTTGCTATTATTATTATTTTTTAATGCCAACATTCTCTCGTTTCTTTTATATCTCGTAGATCATATTCACTATAACTTCTATCTTAGCATGTCCTACGTGAACCTATGTCCCTTTCACCGCCATTAGTATCTTTTCTTCAAATATATCTCTTGACAAATTATATCTTCAAAATTACCTTCCAATTCAACTTCAGGAGTACAAGCATTTGTTATATTTATGGTGTTCTCACAGTGATAATGAAATTTAACAAACACCCAAGGAAAATCAATTACTATTACTGAATTCAAAATTCGAAATTAAAAAAAAAAAAAAAACTTCATGAAAATCTGGAATTATAACAAAACAACAATACAACACTAAAATTTGAGTTGGATCTAAGGTGTAGTTGGTGTTGCCAGTTAGGATTTGGATCTCCGGGGTGGTGGCAAGGGGCGGCTAGCAAGTTGGAAACAATCATAGAAGGGGTTGTACTGGGTGGCAACAACAAGGAGGGAAGGGTTTTGGCAAGGTGGCAGCAAGAGGAAGTGGCGAGGGTGAAGGGAATGAATACAGGAGAGAGTCGAGGAAGGGCGCGGAATACATACCACATGGAGACCAACAACCGGAGCATCACTTGGAATCCTAGAATATTGCCCTTGAAAGGGAAAAGGAGATGTCAACGGTTGGCCCAAAGCAGATCACATAAATACCAAATCTTAAACATCAATGAAACATTTAAATAGACCTATTAGTAATATATCTCTTTTTTGCTTATTTACATATTCTTTTCTTGTATAGGACCACAGTTTGGCACTCATCCATTTATTGGTCGTAAGAAGTTGGTTTCTGTCTTGCATGAAAGCGGCAGCACGTGCTCTCTTGTTGATAATTTGTTCATAGTAAAGAGATATTCTGATGGATCATGCAACGCCATCCCTGTTTCTTCAGATGATGAGGCTCTTTCTAGAACCATGAAGGAGGTTTTTTTTATTATTCAACTTGCCAATTACTTTACACCATTCGTCTTATTCTTGGTAGTTGTTTCATTCCTCTTTTTTCTGGGGGTGCGAATTTACATACATAGCACACAATTCTCATGTATTTATACATCTAACGCCTAAACTTTCATATTTACACATGTAACATTGAAATATTTATTGTCTCATCAGAAATAGCACTATTACATAAGAAGAATTGTGGTGTATGTATGTAAATATGCAAGTTTAGGTGGTAGACATGTAACCACATAAGAATTGTGTGCTAGGTTTGTAAATTTACCCCTTTGTTTCGTTTTCACTTCAGATAAAAAAGGAAAAAGTCAAGTTCATTTGGACCAGGTTTTCAGGATTGGATTCATATTACCAGATGCAAGCAGAGGATCCAGGGAAGCTTGGCTGTAGAGTTGCTCAAACAATTTCGTTGCGTACTTGTAGTAGCAAGTCGTCTGAGGAAGATATGAAACATGGCATGTTAAATGTTAAGATCAGGGATATTCTTTCTCAGATTGACGGAAGAATCCAAAAGCTCTATAATGAGTTACCTTCTAATGCTTTGTTTATTGTATGCACTGGACATGGAGATACAGCTAGTGTGCAAAGGTATGCATTTTGCCATTTTGTCATATTTATTTTTCGGTTTGCCCTTACATTCATTTTATATTATTTTGGAAATAGTTGGCACAAGTAAAACCATGCATCCTTCAAGTACATTGAGGTGTGAATTTGTGAAATCATTATTTTTTTCCCTTAAGCTCTGGATATGTAGAAGAAGATATTTGGTCAGCGCATGAATAATGATATACCCACTCCCCCTTTTAAATATTTATATTTCAGTAAACGCTTAGGTACTTCATATTTAACCCTTGCCCTCCCCAAACACGATCACCATGCTGACTTGAGTCTTAGGGTTAGTGTTTGTAGAGATCGCCTATCTCTCGAATTGTAAGTGTTGAGAGAGGTCACCTACCTCTTGAATTGTAGATGCATATCTTTATGTATTTGGGTTGTGTTGTTTTGTTGATGAAATAAAATATTTATCTATCCTAATTTCTTTGAAAAATCAACTAATTCATATCACCATACGACTCCTAAAGTGGCTGCCCAGACTAACCTTTGTTGCTCATAATTGGCTGACTCAAAGAGTCATAAATATAACTTTCTCTGGTAAAGGTAATTATCTATCTGCATATTCAATGTTTATAAAATTAGCTAATCCTCACCTTCCGGTCTCCGTACGTCATTGCTCCATCTTTTTCTCTGTTGTTAGGGCACTTCTGAAACTATTTTGGTTATTTTCTCCTTTATGCTTCATTTGCTAAGGGGTCATTTCAGACCACTTTTTTTTCCTTTTTTTTCCTTATATTTTATTTTCTTTATAAGTTGATTTAAAACAAAATATGTTTGATATTATGATTATTTTTTAAAATAATAAAAACATGTATAAACTATTTTAATTGTTTAAAAATGACTTCTTTTTAAAATAAAAATATAAAAATATACTAAATAATTATAAAATTAAAAATGATCCCAAACAGACACTAAGTTTTATGTAAGCTCTTTGTTTCGTTTGAGGCGGCGGTATGGTGGCGCATCACAATTTTTCCTATTAGCAGAACTATATTTTGTCTGCTTTCTCGAAAGCTGCAGATGAAAGTTGTGTTCTCTCACCAGACCTGACTGCCTACAGCAGTTGCTAGAAAACTACAGTATACTTTTTCAACAAAAAAACAAATAAATAGATAAATTTTTTAATAGTCACCGTAGCTTTTTAAACAACAGCTTCTTCTTCAACAATTTCACAGCTAGTTCTTCAAACAAGCTATAGCCGCCCCAAACTTTAACTCCATTAGTAATTTTCGGTCATATGGATATTGAGAGCATGCTTGTCTTCATTTACAGAGCTGTCATGAACCAGATGATACTGCATGAAATAGCAAGTTCTTATTTTATTAACACGAAATTCCCATAAGGTTTTTAGCATCTGATAATTTCTCTAAGCAAACAAGAAATATAATGCATTTGTCTTCAACCTCCGTTACCTGTTCTGATTTAACCATCATCTCATTGTCTCTTACTTCTCATTTAAGATTGAGAAAGATACTTAGAGAGAACTGCAACTCGGGGATTCACCGCGAGGATATATTGCAAGCTCTAGAACAGCTTCAAGTCGGCGCAGAGAAGGCTTTGTGTTTTGTTACTGTTAAACACTTTACTTGACAGGTTACCTTGATCTTTTCTGTTATTAGGTATCCATAAGTTTTTTTTGGACATTGATTCAGTGACTTCATGATTTTTTCTACCAGCATCTGAAGCTTGAAAATTCTTTTTCTGCAGGGTGCAGGGGAACTGCTGATTTCATTATTTTCTGGCCTGTTTATGAAGCTTTTCTGTTCAAATGTGTTTGTGAAGGATATGCAGGAATTATTTATACCATCATTTTTTGGCAAGGATTTGAAGTTTCATAGTGAAATTTTTTTGAGGTAGTGAAGTTCTTCCTGCTGTAAACTCAGCACAAAATTCTTATATATATATATATATATATTATTTTTTAAAAATATATATATATAATCTTATTATTTATACCTTCTACTTCTTTTTGAGGTAGTGAAAAAGATGTCTTTTTTCACAAATAAAATCAATGAAAACAAAATAATAATTTTTTTTATTATTATTTTTAAACAAAACTTTTATGCAATACGCATTTGTTATGCTCCTCGTATGAGCAGCTGCTAAGGCAGCAGAAAAAAATGATCATTGTACCTGATAAAAATTACCAATGACTATGATAACAAGTCACTGATCATCTATGTATTTAGGGCTGTTAAAATGGCTCGTTGTTCCCGAACAGCTCTTGTTCGGCTCGTTCACTAAGTTAACGAGCCGAACACGAACAACACAAACAAATACGGCTCTCGAACAGGCTCGCGAACAACACGAACAAATATTTGTTCGTTTGTGTTCGGCTCGTTTTGGCTTGAAATACTACTAATCTTTGATGAGTCGTATTTTTAAAAAATTTAATTGACTACAATGCTATAAGATTTATAATCAATTAAAAATATTAATAAAAAATAGAGTAAAAATTATTAAATTAGATTCAAATGATGTTTTAAATTTTGTTCCAATCCTTAACATCTTATGGCTAGGTGATTAGGATTGTTAAAATGACTTTTTGTTCGTGAACGACTTGTGTTTGGCTATCTAAGAAGACGAGCCGAACACGAACACACTTTTTGAACTTGAAATATAAATGAGCCGAACAAGGCTCGTGTTTGGCTCACCCATATGTATTAATAGTTTTAAGGGGCATTTAAATATATACCACACAATTCTTATTTTATTACATATTTGACACATGAACTTTGAAATTTACATGCAAATAATTTAAGTATTCAATATCATATCAAAAATATTATTTTTATTAGTTTTTTAACAGATTAATATATATTTTCATGTATAAATTTACAACACTGATGTGTTATAAATATAATTTCAAAATTTTTGGTGTTAAATATGTAAATTAAAAAGAGTTGTATGCAAATTTTCCTAGGGTGTTTGCTTATATACCATCCAATTTCTATGTATTTGCATATCCAATACCTATACTTTATTGTTTATATTTATACCACTCATTTTTTTTATATTACAAAAAATACAATTAATTTTATATTTAAATGCGTGGGAATTTAGACTTAGTGGTATGTTAAGTGTTCTAATAATTAAATAGAGTAAACAAGTGGTTTGACGAGAAGATTTAAATTTACAGTAACACTTGGAATGATGACAGTCGATTTCGAGCTCAAGTTGAGCTGAACTCGACTTACAATCGGCTCGAACAAAATTCAATCCAAAATTTTGACTCATAACTCAGCCAGTTTATTTCAATCCAGACCTCGATTAACAATCTTTAAGCTAAATTCATTAAATTCATAATCCTAACATCTTTCCGATATCAATCCAAATGCTAAAATTCGAATCAATTTTCGACGATCGTCGAGCTAAATTCACAGCCCTAATACTATTCCCATGCTTCATAAGAAAAGCAGCTAAAATCTAATTATAAAATACATTAAAAAGTACCATTAATTATTAAAGAAGAGCAACAAAATTGTCAAATCCATCCAAAGACCATAAATTCATTAAATTCATAATCCTAACATCTTTCCGATATCAATCCAAATGCTAAAATTCGAATCAATTTTCGACGATCGTCGAGCTAAATTCACAGCCCTAATACTATCCCCATGCTTCATAAGAAAAGCATCTAAAATCTAATTATAAAATACATTAAGAAGTACCATCCAAAGACCACTATCCAAAGACCACTATCATAAATTGTTTTGATCTTCAAAAAATTATAATTAAAAAAAGAGAATAAATTAATATTGAATCTTCTTGCTTAATTAAACATTTCATTTTAAGTCCAAAAACAATTTCTAATAACAAGATAAACCCTATGAATGCCTTACTCCTCTTCCTCATCAGTAAATTTGATCCTCTTATTTTCTGTTTGAACAAGACCCACCTGTATTACAGGAGAAAATGAATAAATAAAGGCATAAACAAAAAAAAAAATGTATAGGAATTGAGTGGTATCTATATGATGTGTAAATACAAGGAATTGGATGTTATGCATGTAAATGTCCCTACAAAGATTTCAGCCTAATAAAAAAACAGAGCAATCAAAACAACAGGTCAGAACTTAATCACTAATAGGTGTCAATAACTAATCAAACCAACATGGTATTGCATCAAAACATGTGGTTTCGATGAACTTGTTGAGACATACAAACTTTGGGTAATTAAATCATAAATCCAAAGTAATTAAGCTCACAAGTTTTTAATTATAGAAATGTCAAAAGCTCAGACTAAAATTTTTTTGGCTTATTCAGCACTAAGATTTACTGGAAAACAATGTAGGACAAGAACTGTTTTCAAAACAAAATGACAGTGATTTTTATATACTAACCATTCAAAACATTAAATATAACATTTTAACCACCCAAACTTAAACATTTTACATTTCAATCGCCAAACCATTCAAAACATTAAATATAACATTTTAACCACACAAACTTAAACATTTTACATTTCAATCGCCCTGGTATTGCATCAAAACATGTGGTTTCGATGAACTTTTTAAGACATACAAACTTTTGGTAATTAAATCATAAATCCAAATTAATTAAGCTCACAAGTTTTTAACTATAGAAATGTCAAAAGCTCAGACTAAAATTTTTTTGGCTTATTCAGCACTAAGATTTACTGGAAAACAATGTAGGACAAGAACTGTTTTCAAAACAAAATGACAGTGATTTTTATATACTAACCATTCAAAACATTAAATATAACATTTTAACCACACAAACTTAAACATTTTACATTTCAATCGCCAAAAAGCTTAAATGAGTGGGTAACTAGGAGTGGCTGTAATGAAAAATACAAAGTTTTGGGTGGTTGAAATGCCAATTTTTAAATTTTGAGAGGTTAGAATGATATATTTAATGTATTGGGTGGTTGGTATGTAAGAACCTCAATAACAAAATGCTTTATGGTTTGGGCAAAGGTTTTCATGTGTTCCCAATTACATTTTGACGTGTTGGTAGTCTGTAAAAGTATATTAATCCTTTTTTTAAATTATTTTTCCATTTCAGAATTTGAATGACCCCTTAACCAAATTACTCGTAACGGTGTGATTCTAAAAGCAAAAGCAGCATAGTTTCAGTCAACAATAAATCAACTTCAAATCATGGAACTAGATTAAAAAATAGGTGCCAGTACATACACACCACGCAATTCCTATGTGTTAACATATCTATCACATAATTTTGTTTTCCCATTTATAGCACTCAAATCTTTCACATCACATAAAAAATACCACTATTTAAAATTTTCAACGGTGAAATACACCTTTAATGCATAGGTAAGGTTGCATGTAAAAATTGAGTTTAAGTGTTAGATATGTAAATACATAAGAATTGAGTGGCATCTATATAAATCTTTACTAAAAACAATTTGTGACATGTTGCACTCGGAAACCAAGGTATCATGAAAAAAATGGCAATTCAGCAACATTTGAACCAACCTTATTTCCAAGGCCATGTAGTCCGAGCTTATGATCAATAGTTGGCTTCAAAAATGAAAAAGGGGAAAAATAATAATTACACTTACAAAGTCAGGACATTCATATTCGATACCAGCATCCTTTATGCGTTTGCGCCGTTTCGCATCACGCTTCAAAATTCCTTGCACCAAATTCTGATGTTGTTTTGCGGTTCTGTCCTGCAAAACAGGTGCAAGAAGACATTAAACATTTAGCACTTTGAATGAAGAGGCTTTAATAGAAAGTTCTCATCCACATAAATAAGTATAGTTACCTTGTTATGCCTCCACCTTTCGATATCTGTCCACTTGTGTGGGTTATGGACCTTACCCACACCTTTCCACCTGCGAGCAGAAGAAATACAGAAGATGAAATATTGAAATTTTGATAGACTTGTCCAGAAATGAAATTAAAGAGGCCAACGAACAGTGACAGTTGAATTGCATTGTAGCATATGATGTGCAAATATAGGCAATAAGGCAGTTTGGCCTTCCAATTTCAAGGGAGAGAGTTGGGACTCAAATTCAATTTTCAGTAACTAAGTTACTAGATAAACTCATAACGGCTAAAAAAAAGGATTATTTACAAACATACAACTCAATTCTTTTGTGTTTACATATCTAGCACCTAAACTTCAATTTGTACATATATGCTACCTTAACTATAGATGAAAAGGTGTATTTCAATTTAGAACTAAAATTGTGGTATTTTTATGTGATATGAAAGATTTGGGTGTTATAAATGAAATAAACAAAGTTTAGGCGTTAGATATGTAAATATATTGAATTGGGTGGCATGTATGTAAATGCCCCAAAAAAGATATTTAATTTCTAGGCAAACAAGAAATAAACTAGTCACTGGAGCAATCAAACAATGACAACAAAAATGTAAATGTTGTTAAATTACTAGATAAGCATAAGTCACTTCCCCAAAATGATAAATAAAGAAATAACAAATTTAATTTTTGCTATCTTCCTACTTTACTCGTATCCACCAAAATCCATCATGTTCGTGATAACAAATTGCTCAGAAGAAATTCAAATAAGGATACTTACAAGTTTGGATGAATTTTTTCTGGAGGAATCAGATGAATCTGAAGGTTGTGCTCAAATAGTAGATAATTATGAATCTCATTAGCCACAACCTTGGCCACCTGCTTTATAGGAAATATTATTGTTGCTTGGTAAACAAAATAGAAAAACTCAAGTAGGGGGGTAAAGTTTTTAAGAATGTGGCCCAAAAAAAGCCTACCGCTGGGTTGTCAAATTCAAGGAAACCATAATGCTTTGATCTTCCAGTCTGAAAATTAAAATAAAAAATGTCAGATTTTGCTATGAAAGGACTAATAAATGACAAATGCTACATAGAACACTCATCATCATCATTAGCCTAATCCAAGTATTTAGATCAAAGTTATGAATCCTATTAAACCCGTTCTTTTGAAAATCATTTCAAAAAAATTTCATCCATGTGGCATTAATTTTACCAAATTTTTCTTCCTACTCTTCTAAAATTATGCATATCAAATTGTCTAACAGATGTATTTTCTACGCAACATTATACATGTACAATAGAATATATCATAATAAAAAGTGAAAGGAAAAAACCAAAGTATAATCTATTATAGAAAATCGAACATAGGAGAAATCATAAAATTAAGTCATCATTTCGCATGGCTCCTGGTTTTCATTTTATTGTCAGATTTATTTGAAGTTGTCTCCTCAGTAATAATTTTTAATATACTTCCTCAGATGAAGTTTCTTTTAAAAAACTTTTGGCAGCATGAAAAAAAAAAAATCAAAACAACGCTAAATTTCTTATTGATTGATTTTCCCGCAACAAAAGCAAATAGAAGGAAGAAATGAAATAAAATCTAAAACATCAAATGATGCATAGGAAAATGTGTGTGTGAGTGGATCAACAAAACACACATTGCAATCAGAAGTTGCCTAAGGAAAACTTTAACATAATAACCATCAAGACTTAGTTATCAATGTAAACTATTATGCCAAATGATAAATATGAAAGAAACCACAGTTAAAAAGAACACAGATGACAAAGTTCAATATAATATTCACAAACTTTATGAACTATAAATAATATGTAGCGATGCATAAACAGACATATGGGGAAAGTGCTCTCAAGTTTGGCCCACATGTTCCCCTAATATGTGTCAAATCAATTCTTACGGTTTTTTATCATATTTCCTACTCTGTGTCATTAAAGAATACGTAAAAACCCGCCTCTATACTTTTTATCAACTGCAACAACAACAACAAGCCTTTATCCTATTAAGTGGGGTCGGTTACATTAATCCGTTTTTCTCTATTGTGTCCTATTGAGTGTCATATTTTCATTTAATTCTAATAAATTAAGATCATTTTTTATACAATATGTCTAAGTTTTTTTAGGTCTGCTTCTATCTTTATTAACATAAGTCGAATTCAAATTATCTACTCTCCTGACTGGATCACCACATGGTCGACATTTATTGTGAGCAAACCATCTAAGATGACTCTCTCTAATCTTGTATTCCACTGGAGCAACACCAACCCTTTCACGGATACATATACTTTGCATTTAGCTCTTGAGAGTCGAAAACCACCTCCATTATAATGTCATGTCAAAAAACCAAATTGATTCTAGAAAATAAATTTTTTTATGTTTTATTGCTCAAAAGATAATTATCAATCTCAATTTCAATGCCAAAGTGATAAATATATAAAAAAAAAATAGCATTTAAATAATACATGAAAGGAGGAATCAATAGATCAGCTTAAATAATATAAGATTTACCAAGATGCATGTGTTAACAGCAAAACATCTAGACATGTACTCTCACGATTTTTTTCCTTAATGCACATCAAATCAATTCTCAAGTTATTTGATCATATGTCTCATTAATATCTCCCTCCCTCCCTCCCTCTCTCCCACGTAAAAACATTGAAAGACTCATAAACTTAAACATTGAATGACTCACAAACCTAATCATCTAATAAATAAGAAAAGTTTGCACTACGGAATCTACTCCATGTGAGCCAAGGTGATCATATTGTGTGCGTGGGGTATGCAAAATCAACCCTTCAAAGCAGCTATTAAAAGTGGAGTGACTAAACCTATCCAGTAATATAATTTTAATAGACAATATGATAACATTGACCTCATCTGGCAAATCTCTTCACAGTAATTGTCGGCATTAAATTTTGGAGAATTAACTTTTTTCCATCATCAGGACTACCAAACACAGCATAAATAAAACATGCCAAACATCCACACGTCTCTAAGAAAAAAAACTTCCACGAAATTACACTAACGAAAAGAATCTTACCATATGGTTAGAATCCATTGCATCTCAAAGCTTTCAGTTAACCGGATAATAACACTCTTTAATAGCCATACATATAAAAAATTATTTATCATATAAAGTCTTTTTCTTAATGTAATCAAAAGTTGCATTAAAAAAACCCACTTTAAACAGCCTAGAAAGACTAGTAAGATAGAATGCAAAATTGCAAGGCAAAGTAAGAATGTCATCAAGACTCTTACTCCATATCTTCAACAACAACAAACTATTCATAGAAGAAAAAAAGGAAACCATGTCGGTGAATCATGATCTAAATTTTAAAAATGGAGGACACCAAAAAGTGGCTACCAATAAGCATAGTTTAAATTTAATCATATTCCAAGGTTCTACAGATCATAATCTATTAATATAGCTAAGCACAGGGCATTAAAGTCGTTGTGGTAAAGTAAAGCAAAGCTTTGCACAAGGATAAAAGTTTTTAATCAATATAACACCTTCCAAAGATAGAATAATCAACCACAAAATCTAGCGATTAGCCATGAAAATACGAGCATCTAAGATATATTAATATAGAAGGAAATCACAGTTTCTCAGAATAAACCATATCCCAAGTCTAACATGTAATTCATTACAAATGAAGGACTGAGTCACTTTCTACCTAAAGAACCAGAAAAAGGTTGAAATTTTATCAAAACTGAAGATGTTTAGACACCAGACATCAATAATATAATAAATGTATTCTAAAAAATAGTTAGTAAAAAAAGGCCTTTTCTTATAACTGATAACCCGTTTTATAAGACAATGAAACCCAAATTCAAGAATAGCACAAACAATTTATAGAAAAAAAACTACCTTTCTATTCCTAGCAATCCTCAATCTCTTCACCTTGCCAAATTGCTTGAAAAAACCTGTAAAATTCAAGCATAAATAGGCAAATAACAATATTATAATGCAAATCCAAAGATGGCCTTCACAAAATTCTTTGCCTCACCTTCCATTTGCTCCTCATAAAATCCGTGAGGTATATGACCAATATATAGAACAGTAGCCTTGTCCTCCACTTCCTTTTCAGGAATTTCCGTAGCCTGCCCCCCTTCCAAAGGCTGTTAGAATCAGGTAAGCACAGTAAGAATAAACCATCACACTCCAATAAGTGAAGTAAAAAGTTAGACTGAAAAAATATACAAAGATTACATACATACAACCTTACTATGCATGAAAATGTGTATTTCACATTTTAAAAGTTAAAATGGTGGTATTTTTAATGTGATATGAAGGATTTGGGCGGCATGAATGTAAAAACCAAAACTTGGGTGTTAAATATGTAAATACATAAGAATTGAGTGGCATGTAAGTAAATGCCCATAAAAAATATTATAGCAAGGGAACATACCAGGAAATCTGAAGATTGCTCCTTTGCGCGTCGAGCAGCAGCTGATTGAGAGGCTTTAATGAGTTTCTTTTTTAGTGATTTTTTGGCCTTTGCACCCATTTTGTTTGCTAGCACGTGGAGGAAGAAAATACTGCAAATGAATTACAGCTAAGAAACATAACATATGCAAATGAAATTATAAAATCATTAAGTTATGACCAAGGCCTCATGGATAAAGTCATCATCTCACATTGTGAAACTAAGGCTTCACTCACTTAAAAAGATCAGTCAGCATCAAAGCCATGTTCTAACAAAACTCTATCCCAATATGATGATATAATATTATCAAGGCTAAGGAAACACATTACACCTAAATATATTATCAAGCAAATTATAATTAACATAAGAAAATGTGTTAAGGTATCAGTTTAACCTAAGAGATGGGGCAGTTCGGTTTGAACAGGACTTGAGCAGGAATTAATGAGGATTTAACCTAAATCCTACCAAACGGCAAAAATTAAAACTTTAAATCCTGCAGGATCATAAATCCCTTTTCTCCTCCGTTCTGCCTTAAATCCCAGATTTAGTAAATCCCGCTGGAAAGTGGATTTACTGGATTTAGAGAAGCTAAAGTGCGCGAAGGAGGACGGGAGGAAGGAAGAGAAAAACGAGGGTTAGTCGGGTGGGAGCGGAGTAGAAAGGGTGGATATACCGGAGTTTTGGAGATCTTTGTAAGCCGCGATCCCGTCGTTGCTTCCCAGCTAGCTCTAGTAGCGACTGTACCGCGATGGTTTCAGGCGATGGTAGGGGGAAGACAGAGCCACCCTGGTTTCAGAATCTTCCTTCTCCTTCGCAAGCTGCTTACCGCTGGTCCCTTCAACGCCCTACGTAAGGCGAAAGGGTTTCGGGGAACCTCTGGAGAGAGCTTTTTTTATTATTTTCTATAAATATTAACCTATTAATAATAGTGGATATTTATGTTACACGAATATAAATAAAGAGATACAGACATTGACATGATATGAAAATAGATGTTTCTATTATTAAAAATATAGGAAACAAAACCCATCAGGCACGACATTGAATGTTACCGTAGCTCACCGCTACGACCTATATGTTCAACTATGGCGGACTACATGATCCACAATTCACATAGTTCCCAACTCCGATCTCTGCGGTACACATACGTTATTGTAGCTCATTACTACAATCTATGTGACCAACCAATGCTCATGAAGCAACTATCTACGACCCACATAGCCAACTAATACCATGACTTTCAACTACATATTTTACGCAAGCTCGTGTTACAGTCATCGTCTATAATATTAATGATGGATTACTGTTTCCATAGCAATCGACTACGGTCTTTGCAACCAGTTACAACGATTATAGTCGAAATATTATTTGACATCAACTTTTAATTTCATCTTCTTTAACTCAGGAGAAGAGTAGGGCATGTGTACTCATCATTATATAGTGAATTATTTCATTTGGCTTGGTCCGTGATATTTTCCCCTTTCAGGGTCTTCCACGTAAGAAATTTTGATGTCTCTACCTCTCTTTAATTACTTATTTGTGTGATGATTTTTTTTAGTGCTAAAATGTTAAGTAATCACTCTATTGTCATGAATTTTTTGACACTCGTCGATTTGGAGTCATATGTGGGAAGCGAAGTCCCATTTGGCATAGTCTTCAAGTTTAAGATGTTGAGCCCCTACTTTATTCTCTAATGATATTCACATCTGACTAGTAAAGGACCTATTTTACACCTCTTGAAGATCATTTTGTTTGCATTATTTGATATGTGTGACAATCATTTTGCAATTTTCAAAGGTCGTTTATGTTAACATTTCAGACATGAGTATGGTGTGATAATAGAATTTAAGTGATAAAGTTTTTCGTGGTTATTTAATGAACCCCATTTAAAGTTATCTTCAAAAGAATAAGTAAAGTAATATTTTGACTAAATCTACTAAAATTGCTTTAAAGACATTCAAAGGTTGCAAAAGTTATTTTAAATAACTCCAACTTAAGAATACGTGAGATTTCTTAAGGGCAGAATGAAGGGAATTAAGGAAAAGATTATTTCAGTGCAAGTAATGGGATAATTTTAGGGGTATGGACATGCATCAATTTTACGTGATTTTATCTATTTTTTATCATGTATTTTATCTACTTTGTTGTCTTATTTATCATGATTGTATACTTATAAAATGTTTTTTATGCCATTTTGCAGGTTATATGTGTCAAACACATAAAACGAAGTCAAAACACACAATACAATGTTGTCTGGCGTAGTCACGCCTGATTTAGGCATGACCACACTGGTTTTGAGTGTGAAAAAGATGGATTGTGGCGTAACCACGCCGCCCGACGTCCAGAACTTAGATTTTGCATGATTTCTTGTCTATTTTGGACCTATTGGCGGATTTGGAAAGTTTGGATGCCTAATATAAAACCTAAATATAAAAACTTATTTATGTCAAGGAAGAGCTTCTTCTTGGCCTTGAGAGAGTGAGATGAAGGGGGAAACTATAAGAGAGTTTGAGATGGCTTGAGAGAGATTTTGGAGAGCTTTTCCTTGGTATTCTCTTCCTATCTTGAGGTTGATGTGCTAAGTGTGTTTCTACATTTTTCCCTTTGTATTTTCTTATATTTTCTGAAAGGTTGTTGTATGAGAAAAGAATTGGTTGTTGTGGAAGACAAAACACCTGGTATTCTTAAATTTTTTACTTTCAGTTTTACTTGATATGATGAGTTCAATGGTGTATTTTTTTTTTTTTTTTTTTTTTTTTTTTTGCATATTTTCCTAACATGTGTAACTATGTTCTTTCGCACTATTTTGATTTATTGTATGTAGTTTTTATGATTTTATGAGATGATTTCTTTCTCTATATCATTTTATTGAGAAAACAAGATGTTTTCATTGTTGTATTAACCATAAAATTTCATTTACTCCTTGCCTGATTAATTAAGAAGTGAACATTTTTCATGATCCGTGACTCCTACCTGTTGCTCAGAGGAACGAAGTGATTAATTAAAAAAACCTAGATAATAATATATATATATTTATCTACGTTTTGCAATCTATAAATTAGATCAGAATAAATCAGTGGAATGTCATAGAGATTGTGGAAGCCTCAACTTCATGGATTCTAGCTTTCTTTTGATCTAAACATATGCATAAGGACTTTTGATCTCTGTTGACAATTATCACGTAGAGAAAAGTCTTGGAAAACCATGAACCACCATATCACTTAATTCACAGGAGTGTGAGTCTCACAAACCATGAAAAATCATAAGATTTATCTATCCTTGTTTTCTGTCTTTTCCAAACACATTATCTTTTTTTTTCGCTTTTAAATTGAATTTTTGGAAACCATCACTTGTTTGTGATCGGCTAAACTAGGTTTAAAATTTTATGAAACTAAAGATTTGATTATAAAAAAAACTCCTAGCGTTTAGCTCGTGGGATCGATATGTTGTACTCTTTAACTGCATTATTACTAGACACGTATTTTTGTGTTGTGCGGCTGATTTACTTTGCGATAAATTTCAATGAATCATAGGCCTCGTCGTTTATTCCAATTTTCAAGATTTTCCAAATAATATATTATGGTGTCTCTACCTGCCTCTTTAATTATATGAGTGTGCGTTGAATTTTTGTGCAACGCTAATATATTAAATAATCACTTTGCTGCCACGAATCTTCTGACACATATCAAAAATTATTTTATATAATATCTTTTTTAGGGGCATTTACATGCATTCCATACAATTCTGATGTATTTAACTATCTAACACCTTAACAATCATATTTACATGTATGCGACCCAAATCTTTAACATTACATTAAAAATATCACCATTGCAACAATTTTAAAAGCAAAATACTCATTTTCATTCTTAAATTTATGACACCAAGGTGTGATGAATGTAAATATCATTATTTGGGTGTTAGATTTGTAAATACAAAAGAACTATCTCCTATATTTGTAAATTTTTTTATTTTTTATTCAATTTAATTTGAGATAATTTATTTTTATTTAGTTTGTAGATTCTTAATAAACTCTCAACTAATATATTATCATATTCTAATTATACTTTAATTTACTTAGTTTTCTGTTTTTTTTCAGGAAAGATGAGCCCTAATGCAATATGCACAATTCAAATCCGCAACTTTATAATGTTAAACCACACCCTCAACCACTATGTTTTGGGTAAATGTGCTTTAATTAACTTAGTTCAGTTGTCTTAAGCTAAATAATAATTAAGTTAACTAAATTATTATTAATATATGTATGCTAACTAAATTTACATTTTTCTTTAATTAACCTAGTGGATTACTAAATAATAATTAATTGGTATAATGTAAATAGAAATAATAATATTTCCCGAATAAATTAGATAAAAATACAACAATTAACAAATAAATTAATTCAAATATTTGATGTGTGATAGAAGATTCGTGACAGTAGCGTAATTATTATTTATCTTCTTAGCATTGCATGAGAATTCAACACACACTCAAATAAATGAAAACATGTAGAAACACCATAATTTTTTACATTGAAAACTCAAAAAGAGGAAAAACTCAAAAAGGGTAGTTACACAAGTTCTTGAGTTACAATATTGGTGTGTAGATGAACTTGTTGTAAGAAGTGGGCAACGACTTATGATGATTGGCGGGAGTCAGCGGCTAATGATTGGCGGTGGTCGGCGACAACGTGATGGTGGATTTCAGCTCATTCTCTAAGCTACAAGCTCTTCTTCAAGCTCAAGCGTCACCCTTCATAAGAGAGGTGAGGCTCTATTTATAGAGTTCATAATGTAATCAATGAAAAAATATTAACCACTTTGATTGGACGGCTCATAGAGATTCTTTTAATCAGATAATATTTGATGGATATTTGAGAGCCTTAACGATGTCAGAATTGAGCAATCTTGAGCTCGTTGGATTCTTATTGTCGAGAAGCTCGATTTCACCATATGCTCACCAAATTCGATATTCGTTTGACCTTCAAAATATGCCCGCAAAGCTTCCAAAAAAGACTTAATGACTTGATTCTGTTGACCTCAATTTTGAGGCCTTCCTTTCCCTTTCTATAGATACCCTAGAATCTAGCCTTAAGATTTTTTTCTATTTTGACACTTCTAGAGAACTAGACCGACATCTCCAATATTTAGAAATTCAAATCATTTCTTTGCTCCTTGAAGTTTTGTATGGATGGTTTCTAATTTTTAACGTCCAGTTGAGTCGATTAAAGCAGACATATTGAAACTCTTGTTGAGTTCCCATAGAAATTTGAAATACATAGGTGGACCTCATGACGTGTGTGACGTTTGACTTTCTGCTGCGAGCAGTTTACTTGACTTTGGTTGTCGCCTATGTGAGGACCGGTCAATGATATACTCGTTAAACGATTCTGATTGGACCAAAATAACTTCTTTTACTGCAACACATGCAAATTAAAGTTAAATTGGTACGATATTCGATGAACTTGTCCGGGTGATCCCGGATGACAAAACGGATTGCTCCAATGCGTCCAGAATGTCGATTTTGGCTAAAAAGGACATATATATTGATAGGGTTTCGAATCGAGTTAAGTTGTGCATAAATTGATAAATTTTGAATAAAATAATATTTTTTTTTTATTTAGTAAATTTAATTAAAAAGAAAAAAGGGAGAAAATATAAACTTACCCTTTTTCTTTTCTTTTCCCCACCTAGGTTCCTTAGTTGAACCATTTCCTACCACTCTTCTCTTGACCGAATTTCAAAGTTTCCTTCTAGTTCTCCGGTCATCTCTTTCCTCGTCGGCCTTAACCGACTTTCACCATTGGTTGCTTTGTCAGTAACCATTATCTAACAGATTTTCCCGCCCAAACAAGTTTGGGTACCTTCCTTGTCAATCTTGATCTGTTTCTTGCCCTCTGTGGT